CAGCTGACCTCTCAGGTTCCTCCCTGTTCTCAGCCAATGGGTCTTTTGAGAAGGACAATGGAAAATCACAGGTGTCAACAGAAGTAGGTTGGTAGGGAATTCTCATAGGAAGCGGGGGTGGGAGGGGGACACTAAACAAGCCCCAACCACCTCCCCATCTCCCTGAGAATAAAGTGAAACCGCGGCTATTTCTAGGCACGCCTGAGAACTATTTGAGGGACGATGAGGCGGAGGGTTCCTAACGGGAACGACACACGGTAACCCTCCGCTCGAGACCTGTAATCGTGGCGGCAGGTCTTCGGACCACCAGGGGGAGAACTCGCACCGCATCCTAGTCTTGGGCAGTTTCGCCCAACCACGGAGATCGCGTAGAACTCTGGGAATTGTAGTCCTAGGGTTGTGATGCTCAGTCTTGCGCGGAGCCCCTCGGGGGTTGTAGTCCCAGACGGAGAGGCGGGAAGTGCTTCTCAGCGCCCATGTTGAACCTTGGAAACTACAACTTCCAAAGGGCCACTGGCTCCTGGGAGTTTTCTCGTTTCCACCGAGTTAAACGTCAGGGGCTGCTTCTGAGGGATCAACTTGACTGGGTAAGTGTGATTGGAGAAAGGTCTTGTTCTCGACTGCGCTGCCTGCGGACTCTTTTGTATTCCGACCCGCTTTGGGCCTTCTCGTCTCTCTATCGCAGGAACTGCACGTTAATCTTCGTCCTGTTTCCTTTTCCGACACCGCCAACATCAACCCACACCCATAACCCTCCCACCTAACCTCCACTCCGGGCGCCCCTGGAGTCCCTCCCTGAGCTCTCTCCCGGGACCCCAACCTCACCCTGAGCCCGCAGCCCCACCCTGGACGCCACAACCTTGCCCTGAGCCCTCGGCCTCATCCTGACCCTACAGCCTCACCTCCTGAAACCTGGACTTCTTTGTGTCCCTCCACGCTTTGTGCATGCTTCACTCTTACTCCCATTCTCCTGTTGTTCACGCCGGTGGGAGAAGGGTCCCCGTTCCTTCTTCCCGGTCCGCGGAAGAACCCTGGCCTCGAAGTAAGCAGATGCTGGTCTAGCCCAACTCTGCCTCTCACCTCTGTGACCTTGGGCAGAGCATACAACCCTGGGACTCACTTCCTTCACCTCTAAACTGCAGATGACAGCTGCTCCGTCAGTCTTAGGGTGAGGTTATGTGTGAAGCCAATAAGCTAAGTATGTGTGAAGGTGCTTTGTAAACTGTAAAGCCTCCACAAACGATGGAGATTATTTTTATTACAATTATTAATGTTCTGGAACGCTCTCATCAGGGCTATTTTCTAGCTCTGCCACCTTGTTGCCCAAACCCATCCCTTGAGCCCTAGGCGTCTCCATTCTCTAAGAGGGGGATGATATTTCCTCACTTCCTCCAGAGACCAAAGGTCAGGCCGATGAACTTTTCGTCTCCAGAGAGCTTTGTCTGAAAGGAAGCACCAGAGAAGTGCTTATCTTGGACTCCGTCCCAAAATATCCAGTGATGAAAGGTCCACGCAGCTGGCAGAGGCGCAGTCCCCTGCTCACTAAAAACAGGACCCCAGCCGGAGAGGACAGCTGCAGTGTAAGCCAGTCCATTCCCTCTGGGCTCTTCCGGGCCTGCTTAGGAGCCTCTGGCTTTAGTGGCGGTGTCTCAGGCCTGAAAAGGCAGGTAGAAAAAAATCTGTTTAGGATTTAATCCAGGAAAAATGAAAGAGGGCTAGACTGGGAACGGTGAAAGAGAAACATCGTACTGTTAATTAGTTCCTAACATTTTATGAGCACTTTAAATGTACCAGGCCCCAGACAATATCAATTTTTTAAAAATTTCACTTATGAAGTGTCCCCATTTTACATACAAGGAACTTAAACTCAGGGATGTCATGTAGTTGGCTAAAATAATTATAGTTATAGCTACCTCCTATACTTCTAGTACCTTATGTGTGTCAAGTGCTTTACATACATTACTTAATCCTCATGGACAACCTCATGAGTAGCTATTTTTGGCATATGGATAAGTTACCAGAGGTTTAGAGTTTAAGGAACTTGCTCAAAATCACACAGCTATTAAGTGGCAGAGATGGAATTCAGAGTCACCAAAAACTTTTTTCCACTACCAAATCATATAGTCTTATTTTTATTTTTTTTTATTTTATTTTTTTATTATTATTTTTTGATTTGTTGTACAGCCGAGTTCTCACCAAGTTGCCCGGGCTGGTCTCAAACCCACGGGCTCAGGCAATCCACTTGCCTTGGCCTCCCAAAGTGCTGGGATTACAGGCTGAGCCACCGAGACCAGCCATAGCCTTATTTTTAGATAAAAAAGATTAAAGAATTGAGATGGTGTGAATCTAGCTAACTGAAGGAACATTATTGAGTTCCTACTATGTGGGGAAAGCATGCAGATAGATGATTTGGCCTACAAAGAACTATACAACGCAGTCTTTACCCCTGGAGTGTATCTGAAGAGATAAGGCATACGTGTGAAAAAATTAGATAGTATTCTTTGGATAAATTAATTATTCAGCCAGCTATATGCAGGGCACTACATTAAGTCTAGTGAGTGACAGGAACATGCTTCTGAGTGGCCATGGGGATTATGCCAACTGAAATCAGTCATGAAAATGGTGGCCCAGAACAAGTATGCACTCAAGTGTTTGTTGCATGCATGCATGTCTGAATAAAAGTTCTTTGTGTCAGCTGGGCACAGTGGCTCAGTCTGTAATCCCAGCACTTTGGGAGGCCAAGGTGATAGGATTGCCTGACCCCAGGGGTTCGAGACCAGCCCAGGCAACTTGGCGAGACCTCGTCCTACAATAAATCACAAAAATTAGCCGGGCGTGATGGCATAGGTCTATAGTTCCAGCTACTTGGAAGGCTGAGGCAGAAGGATTGCCTAAGCCCAGCAGGTTGATGCTGCGGTGGCCGTGAGTGTGCACTGCATTGCAGCCTGAGCGACAAGAGTGAGATTCTAACTCAAAAAAAAAAAAAATGTTCTTTGTATCATCTGGACCAGAGGGTCTCAAACCTTGCTGATCAGAAACACCTGGGAAGCCTTTACAAACTGACTCTGGGAATGTGGGTCTTAGAATATACATTTTTGAAGTTTTCCAGATGATTATGATGATAGGTTCAGGACCTTCTGAACTAGATTCTGTGTGGACCACTGTTGTAGGCAAGTCACTGATTGAAAACTGCCAAAATAGGTGCTAATCCCAGAGCTGTCCTAAGGCAGCCTGTGACTGGTTACTAGATGAGGGAGGCAGACAGTGCTCAGAGATGAGGGGAGGAAAGGTTAGAAGGACTTGGAAAGCTTCACAGAGACTAGAGACTTCACTGGTCCTTGATGTACGAAGAGGCTTCTGGATGTGCACCACCATGAATTGTTTAGACAAGGTGAGCAAAAGAAGGTAGAGACACTTAGACTGATATCCTTGGAAAATTCGATGGTATTTATTAGATGTGACACTGGATGCTTTGTGTGAATGTCTCTTTGGCAGAAGTTGCAACCAGATTGGATTTTTCAATCTCCCCATCCTGTTTGGGGATCAATGTGAGCCTAGGGACACACAGATTCATTTTCCTGTTAGCCTCACTCTGGCCAATTAGTTTCTTTAGTTTTTATTTCCAAACAATTTAATTGATGACCCTTCTAGAAAATTTCCAGGGTGCCAGAGAGTTCTGCTATCCTCTGTTTGGCTATTTTCTTTTTTTTTTGATTTGGAGTCTCACTCTGTCGCCCAGACTGGAGTGCAGTGGCTGCTCCCAGCCACCACAGCCTCGACCTGCTGGGCTCTGGCGATCCTTCCGCCTCAGCATTCCAAGTAGCTGGAACTACAGGCGCGCGCTACCTGTCCTGAAACCGACTCACCTTTGGCTCTTTTTTCTCTTGCGTCTCCAAAACCACTCAGTGGCCAAATTCTGTTGTTTCTAGTTTTCACCCAGCATATATTTCCTGGATGCCTCCTAAGAGCCAGTTACCACACTAGGTGCTTTAAATGCATTATTTTGAGGCAAGAGGATTGCCTGAGCTCAGGGATTTGAGACCAGCCTGGGCAACTTGGTGAGACCTCATCTCTACAATAAATCAAAAAATAAACCAGGCATGGTAGCATGTGCCTGATGTTCCAGCTACTTGGAAGGCTGAGATGGAAGGATCGCCTGAGCCCACCAGGTCAAGGCTATGGGGGCTGTGAGCGTGCCACTGTACTCCAGCCTGGGCGACAGAGTGACACTCTGATTAAAAAAATAAAAATAAAAAAATAAAAAATAAATATGTTATTTCACTTTATCTCCACAGCATCCCTGAGAGGAGGGGATAGTATTCCCATTGCACAGATGGGAGATCAGGCTTCCAGAGATCAGATCACTTCCCAAGGGAAGAAAGTGAGGCAGCCTCAAGTATGGATTGCTCAGACTACATACCTCTCACATCCGTGACCTCGTTTCCAGAGTAGATACCAACTTCTTAGGTGGCAGTTGAGAGCCTGCTTCTGTCCAATCTGGGCACAACTTCCTTTGCTCACCTGTGCCTTGTTTCTCACATGTGCTTCCTTATTACTGTGGCTTTGCTCACCTTTTTTTTTCTACTTGCAAGTCAGCCTTTCCCATCTTCCCCTGCCCTCTACTCCCAAGCCAAAGGAGTGCTCTTTCTTCTCAGAATGCCTGCGGTCTCTTATATGCCTGTCTTTTAGGACAGTTAGAACTCATGCTGCTTCATTGTCATGTGGGTGACATGTGTCTTGTGGCTCTCTGCCTGTGTACCTCAACCACAAGGGGGAAAGGTCGGCCTGAGGCCAGGCAGCTGTCATGGACCTTTAAACAGTCCACTGACTGCCTCAGGAGCTCAACTTCTTTAAAAAAATAATTGAGTTTGCTTTTCAGTTTGCTTCGGAGAAACAAAATGAAGAAGTTAAGTCTGTCATAGGAATAAAGTAATTTATTATCTCCCAAAGTTAAATACAACATTAGTTTTGTTTGGATTAGACCTTTGGAAGCCACCAATCAGGAGCTTTGTGTGTTCTGGGCTGGGCTTGGTGGCTCAGCCTGTAATCCCAGTACTTTGGGAGGCTGAGGTGGCTGGATTGCCTGAGCCCACAGGTTCGAGACCAGCCCGGGCAACTTGGTGAGACCTCGTCTCTACAGTAAATCAAAAATTAGCCGGGTGAGCTAGCGAGCACCTATAGTTTCGGCTACTTGGAAGGCCGAGGTGGAAGGATCACCAGAGCCCAGCGGGTTGATGCTGGGGCGGCTGTAAGTGTGCCATTGCTCTCCAAACTGGGCGACGGAGTGAGACTCCAACTCAAAAAAAAAAAAAAAAGAGTTCTGCCTGTGACCTTGAGCAGCTCACTTAATCTCTCAAGACCTTGGTTTCCTCATCATAAAGCATATGTATATACTGGAGGGAGGGGAAGGTGATTATGGGGAGGACTGCAAAATGATCTGTGAGGTCTCTTCTTGCCCAAACACTCTTTGTCTTGAACTCCCTGATCTCTCCCAGAGCATCTTAAAGGAAGCAGAATAATTTAACGATGAATAATGTAGTCCTAGATTCAGTGTATCCATTTAGATGCTTTTGGTTGCAAGCAATAAAAGTTTAAATTCAGTTGGTTTAAACAAGAAAGGGAATTTATTGACTTATGTAACTAGAGAGTCTAGGAATAGGTCAGGCTTCAAGTGTGGTCTAATCCATGGAGGCTTTTTTATTTTTTAATTTTTTTGAACTGGAGTCTTACTCTGTCACCCAGGCTGGAGTACAGTGGCACACTCATGACCACCACAGCCTCGACCTGCTGGGCTCAGGTGATCCTTCCACCTCAACCTTCCAAGTAGCTGGAACTACAGGCACACACCACCATGCCCTAATTTTTTGATTTATTGCAGAGATAAGGCCTCACCAAGTTGCTCAGGCTGGTCTCAAACCCAGGGGCTCAGGCAGTCCTCTCACTAGCCTCCCAAAGTTTTGGGATTATAGGCGTGAGTCACCGCACCTGGCCAATCTGTGGATTCTTAATGTCTCTGCGAATATGGCTCCATTTCTCTGTGTTTCTCCCAGTTCTGCCATCCACCATCGATGGCTTCAGCCCCAAGGTGGCAAACAGGCTACAATAGTTCAAGGCCACTTGACAGGTGACATTTGCACATCACACTAGTTCAAAACAAGAAAGACTTTTCTTCTCTCAAGCATCGAACCAAAGTCCTGGGCTTTTCTCTCATGGGACTAACTTAATGTCATATGCCCACTCTTCATCCAAATACCAGAGGATAACAGGGGCTGATTGGCTAGCTTAATTGAGGCCTAACTCTAGAGGTTAAGGAGGCATCAGCCCTACCCAAATCACAAGGCAGTGGACATTGGAAAGTTTGACCATATTCTTATCAGTCACATAGCCCATGATCAAATTCTGGCTCCGCTAGCTGTGTGTTTTTGGGTAATTTACCTAGCTTTATCAAGCATCAGTTTCCTCATTTGTAAAATGAGATAATATTACATACTTGGGATTGCTATCAAGATTAAATTAAATAATATATGTAAAGCACATATTATAACATAGTCCTGGGCACAGAGTAAATGTGATGATGATGATGGTGTTGGAGATGATGAAATGGAAGCAGGATAGTGAGCAGTGGCATCAGCCCAAATAGAAGAAGCAGTGAAGTCATAGGAATGTTAACTCCTCAAAAGCCTGCACACCTGTCACATTGAAGACTCCTGTTTGAGCTACTGCCCACATCATGCTCTTCCCTGTCTCTGCCTTTTTTTCCTCTTATGTCTTGTCTGGAAGTGCATTTCTTCTCCCCTGCCTCTCTAAACGTCTTCATCTTTCAAGGTCCAGCATAAGTGCCACCTTATATTCAGTAGTTTAAAGCTGGGTACAGTGGCTCCTATCTGTTACCACAGCTATTTTGGAGGCTGAGGCGGGAGGATCACTTGAGGCCAGGAGTTTGAGATCAGCCTGGGCAACATATCAAGATCTTGTCTGAAAGAAAGGAAGGGAAGGAGGGTAGTTAGTTTTGGTCAACGACTTTATGTATGTACAACTGAGCCTCCCCAAGAGCAGGATCTGTAATGATTAGGGCTCAGCTTCTGGATTAGACAGAAGTGGTTTTGCCACCAATAAACAGGACAATTTGGGAAAGTCATTCACCCTTTCTATGCCTTAATTTCCTCATGTGTAAAGCAGGGTCTTTTTTTTTTTTTTTTTTTTGGAGTCAGAGTCTCACTTTGTCACCTAGGCTGGAGTGCACTGGCATGCTTCATGGCTACCACAGCTTTGACCTGCTGGGCTCAGGTGATCCTTCCACCTCTGCCTTTCAAGTAGCTAAAACTACAGGCACGCGCCACTATACCCAGCTAATTTTTTGATTTATTGTACAGACAAGGTCTTGCCAAGTTTCCAGGCTGGTCTTGAACCCTCAGGCTCAGGCAGTCCTCTCACCTCTGCCTCCCAAAGTGCTGGGATTACAGGTATGAGCCACCGCACCTGACAAAGCAGGGCTTAATAGTACCTACCTCAGAGTTGTTGAGACAATGAAATGATGTAATGTATATAATGTATATAAAGGGCTTAGTACAATGGTGACAGTAAATAATTGATGTTAATGATTCTTACTAGCCTCATGAGGGCAAAGTTTGTGTTATAGTGTCTGCAGTAGCTGCTGCTGTGCTAGGCAAATGTTAGATGCTGGATAAACCCTTATTAATGAGCTTTGAAGAGTTTGGATCCTTTTTGTCCTTTTCATAATTAACTCTTCACCCCCTGTCCCCCCAAAAGCAGTCCCTAAACCTTGGCAAAGATAGCATAGCAAAGCAGAAAATGTGCAAGATTTTGTGAGTGATAGGGAGGGTGGCTGATAAGGACGGGTGGATGGGGTGGCAGATGACACACATAACCAACAGGCAACAGGAAACTAAGAATAAACCAGCAAGAGGGTGTTCTGTGTTCTACCCTCCAGCCATCGAGCTCTGCTAAGTCATTTGATTCGCCTGGTGATGAAATGGGGGCCAACCAGTCAGTGGGCTTTCCACCTGTCACGGGACCCCACCTCGTAGGCTGTGGAGATGTGATGGAGGGTCAGAGCCTCCAGGTAAGTGTCTGCAGCTCTGTTCCTGCATGTCTCCACTGCTACTGCCTGCACCATGACTTACTGATTGTAAGTCTCGTGCAAATTCACATGGGGGAATTTGGTTATCAAGCCCCCAGGCCTGACTTCCCTGACGTTTTTCTTCCTCTCCAAATATTAGAAACATCCCAATAAGCCGGGCTCGGTGGCTCAGCCTGTAATCCCGTGCCTTTGGGAGGCTGAGGTGAGTGGATTGCCTGAGCCCGCGGGTTCAAGACCCGCCTGGGCAGCGAGACCTCATCTCTACAATAAATAAAAACATCAGCCGGGCGTGGTAGCACGCGCCTGTAGTTCCAACTACTTGGAAAGCTGAGGTGGAAGGATCGCCGGAGCTCAGCAAGCCAAGGCTGCAGTGGCCGGGAGCGGCCACTGCACTCCAGTCTGGGCAACAGAGTGAGACTCCAACTCAAAAAAAAAAAAAAAAAGAAACATCCCAATAGACTGAGATGATGGGTTGTTTTTCCAGCTGGGAGGAAAGGGAGCTTCTAGCTTCAAAGGCAGCTCGTGGATCCTCTTATCTATCTTGAGGGCAGATGCTTGATCCTGGAAAGTTTTTCGAGCTCATCCTGAGTGTATGAGAGGAAGAGCTGTGGGCAGGTCCCATTGGCCTTGGGCTCCCCAACCCAGGTAGGACTTTCTTTCTCTCCTTTCTGGCCTCCTTTTGTTTTCCCCTCCTGCTTTGGCTTGCAGGCTCACCCTCCATTAGTTCTTGGTCTTTCTCTACTGGCTCTTGGACTCCGCCTCCCCCATATGGGAGGCACACACTTCTTGGCGACCTCTCACCTACTCCCATGAACAATATGTGCTGCTGCTTCCTGAGGGCCAGCCTGACAGAGTGACCTGAGTGAGTCACCCCATTCAGCATGAGGGTTAATCTCTGTCTTCTGTGGCTCCCCCAGGCCAGACCTCAGGGCCAGATTTAAATTTTTCAGTGTCCCAAGTCCTCAAAAATATTTCTGGTGCCTTCCTCCCTGTAATTCAAGCTACCGTTGACTATTTGAGATAACGTAAGCTTTCCATGTTTGCTAAAAATAAGTATGCTTCCTTCTGGACTTCTGAATGTAAAATTCAGGTATGTGTGTACACTGAAACTTACATTTCCCTGTTGTGGTGCCCTGTTTTGCTAGTGCCCCAAACATCTGCTGAGTGTGTCTGGTAGGGCATCTCACCGTGCTTGGGCTTCTTGCTCTGAGCAGCTGCTCTCTTCTTTTCTACAGGGGAGCTTCTTTCGACTCTTCTATCCCTGCCAAGAGGTGGAGGAGACCACGGAGCAGCCCCTGTGGATTCCCCGCTATGAGTACTGCACTGGCCTGGCCGATTACCTGCAGTTTAATAAGCGCTGGGGGGGGTTGCTGTTCAGCCTGGCTGTGGGTAAGGGCTGGCCTGACCCTGAATGCTTTCCCAGTTGCTTGGTTATGTTCCTAGGAGATCCCCAGGCAGACACAGCACCTTATAGCTTGCAGTGTACAGGCTTTTGTAGAGGGGGCATCCGTTAGCCAGAGTGATGTGGAAGTTGGGGGAGAATTACTTGCATGAGAGCTTTGGTTATCAAGTTAGACTCTCCTGGATTTGAATCCAGACTTTATAATTTACTAGCCATGGGCCTCTGGCAAGTTATTTACCCTGTCTGAACACCTGCCTTTGCAGGCTTGTAGTGTGGGGTGTATGTAAAGCCTCTCATGCAGTGCTTGGGACAAAATGTGTTCCATAGATGGCACCTATTACTTATTCAACATGTATTAATTCCCACTCTGTGGCAGGAGCTGCTGTGTATATCAAAGAACTCCTGCTGTTACCTCCAGTCCTTCCCTCTCCTGGGTAGGGTCACACAAAGTCATCCACTTCCCCCAAAGGCCTCACCCCTGGGAACTCTACCCATTGCCTTGGCCTCTCAGTAATTTACTCCAGTGTTGTTCAGTACTGCCCCTTTGGATTATCTTCCCATTTTGATTGTGTTCACTCTCTCTGGGAAAGAAAAGGTAATTGATTGCCCTGGGCTGCTCAGAGGGGAGGAACACATGTCCTGGCCCATGCCTATACTCAGGCTGCCCTTGGGATGACAGCTTTGGGGCAGCCAGAGATTCTATAGCCCGTATCTCTGCTAGGATCTTGTCGCATACCTGTTAGCTGGAATGGCCCCTTTAAGACAAAGGACTCTGGATACCCCTTGATCATCTTCTCCCATGGCCTGGGAGCCTTCAGGTAAGAGCTTCTTTCCTCCAGACCTTGCCATATTCCTTGTCTAGTGACAACTTATTCTCAAAGGGCAGAAACACAAACCAACCAAAGAGATATTTCCATCTGTCAGCTCTGTTATCTCCCATCTGATTCATCCCATAGCATTGGGGCCACCTTCTCAGTAAGGCCTTTTTCAAGCTCCTCTTGCCTGGTGGAGCCTTTGGGCAGCCTTCACATCCTTCACTTCTCATGTGCCAGCATTTATATAAACAGACACTTTGAGCTTTCTTCCTATATAACAGCCCAGAAGTACTAGAAGGATCATGAGTTTTACAATAGAAGAGCCATTCAGTCAACATGGGGGACTACTCTGTGTGGTACTGGCATAGCAGTAAGTCGGATGTGTCCTCTGCACTCATGAAGGTAGCAGCCTCACATGCAAATCCAGCCATGCCACTTGTGCTCTGTGCAAGCCTGGAAAGGTTGTGTAACTCTGAGCCTAGATTTCATTATCTCTTAAAGGGGGATGCTGCTCCCACCGGGAGGTTTGTGAGGATTCACTTCACTTGGCACCTTCTAGGTGTACACCCATGTCAGTTCTTCTCTCCCTTTCTGTACATGGAGGGTTACAACAATGGTGACCTGGAAGATCTCTTTATCAGACTTTGGGAACTTTTGGCCTAAGTTTCATAATTTGGAATCCACTGAGAATTCGTCCCATAAATTCTGATATCTACACCTTGGTATATTCTATAACCTAGTAACTATGTAAGCTTGTGAATATTCTTTTTTTTTTTTTACCAAGATCTATATTTTTATTACCTAAAACATACAGTAAATATATCAGCATGTCTTTAAAGAATCTAACCAGTTACTCTACAAATGGCCAAAGATAACAGTTTATTTTACATAAGCATATAAACATAATTGTGGTCTTTTCTCCACAAAATTATAATTTGAATAATACTTCCACCAATTTATATTGTTCTATTTAACTTCTCAAGTATGAAAAAATAACTTTTTTTCTTTTAACTTGAGGTATTGCTTGTGAACCAAGAAATAATATTGTATTAACTTCAGCCATACTGAATTATTACTTTATACTATACATTAGGAATATAAATGTACAGTCTTATTGCCTGAAATATCAGAAGAAGGAGTTCAAGATACCTGCTTGTGAATATTCTATCTGTTCATCCATCAGCATGCATGTCTAGTTTATGTCCCAGAATGTTACACATCTCAAAGACATCTATATTTGCCTTTCTGCACCTCTGCCCTCCCGGAAGATCTATTTTTAAACCAAATATGATTTTGTCATTCTAGCACCTGGCACAGTGCCTGGTATATACTAGGTACTTAATAAATATTTGTTGAATGAATGTTCCTCCCCTACTTAAAACTTGTTAATAAGCCGAGCTCGGTGGCTCAGCCTGTAATCCCGCACTTTGGGAAGCTGAGGTGAGTGGATTGCCTGAGCCCGCGGGTTCGTGACCCACCTGGGCAACTTGGCGAGACATCATCTCTACAATAAATCAAAAATTAGCTGGGTGTGGTAGCACGCACCTGTAGTTCCAGCTACTTGGAAGGCTGAGGCGGAAGGATCACTGGAGCCCAGCAGGTTGAGGCCACTGCACTCCAATCTGGGTAACAGAGTGAGACTCCAACTCAAAAATAAAATAAAATAAAAGTTGTTAATAGCACTTTGTACTTAACTCAGTTTTTTCCACAGTCTTACCTGGATGCAGGACCAAGACAAGTTTCTAGCCTTGATTCTTGCTACTTGCCCCACTCCAGCTCTCCAGACAAACTGACCTTCTATCACTTACATAAAGGCACTATGTTATTTCCTGTCTCAGAGTCTTCGTCTGTGCTATGCTTTATGGCTGATCCCTTTGCCTGGAATGTTAGCCGTTCTCTTCTGTCCTTCTTTTGCCTGGCTAATTCCAAATTATCTTCAAAGTCTTATTTGGATACACTGTCTTAGGGACACACACCCTGACCCTTATATTAGGTCAAGTTTTCCAGTATTTAACATAACTGTAATGAATTATTATTTGTGTAATTATTCTTTCATGCCTGTCTTCCCCACTCGTTTGTAAGCTCCATGAAGGCCGAGACCATATCTGCCTTCTTTTGCTCAGTGCCTAGGTCCGTATCTGGAAATTAGTTGTTTCCCAGTAAATATTTACTGAACAGATACAAAGGCTGTGTCTTGCTAGGTTCTTATTTATTCAGCAGAGATCTGTGGAGCCCCTGCTGTGTGCCAGTCCTTTGGCATGAGAGGGGCTGGGACATAGAGAGACAAACAAATCAAGGAAGCTACATACCCTAGAGGAGCCGAGACACTCACATTAACTGTAGCCCACATCAGGAAGTGGAAAGTAGATGTGGAGATGAGGCTAGAAAGGCAAGTAGATGGTTTTCAATGTTGGTTTCTTATTCAGTAAATTGGTTACCTACTGTGCCAAGTCTTGTGCCAGGAATGGGCATTCAGTAGTGAAGAAGAGAGAGTTCCTGCCTTCAGGAAGATTTTAGTCTCACAAAGAAAAGCAACTAAGAAACATTCCCTCCTAAGCCCACAGATATTTATAGAGAGAGCAGGTGAGCACATGACCTTGAAGGTTGTCTTTTTGGTATAAGAATCTGTACTGAGACTTCATATATCATATACATATGAACCAGTTTTAATTCTCTTCACTAACCAAAGTGAAATTCAAAAAAAAGGAAAGGGAGGGCATGGGACATTGTTTTCTTTCATTGCATCTGTGGCTAATTCAGGCTCTGAAATCCTTCTCATGGGTCACAGACCTGTGGCTTTCCATCCCAGAGAGGAACATGTGCATTTTTTTTTTTTTTTTTTTTTGAGTTGGAGTCTCACTCTGTCACCCAGACCGGAGTGCAGTGGCCGCTCCCGGCCACCGCAGCCTCGACCTGCTGGGCTCCAGTGATCCTTCCGCCTCAGCCATCCAAGTAGCTGGAACTACAGGCACACACTACCACGCCTGGCTAATTTTTTGAATTATTGTAGAGATGAGGTCTCACCAAGTTGCCCAGGCGGGTCTCAAACCCGCGGGCTCAGGCAATCCACTCCCCTCAGCCTCCCAAAGCACGGGATTACAGGCTGAGCCACTGAGCCTGGCTGAAACACAGCCTGCATTTAAACACTCACTGTTCACAGTGTGTTGTTGTCTCATTTGGTTCCCACACAATTCTGTGAGATAGACAGGCAGAGATACATATTTTTCAGATGAGCAAACAGGCTCTGAAAGGCAGACTTACCCATGGTCACACAGTTTGAACTGGAAAGGGGTCAGAAATCTCCCTGGCTCTTAAGTTCAGTTCACTGCCTCCCCTGGAAAAGTGGAAGAAGGCGAAAAGAAACAAGAAACTGACCTTTGTGTATCAATTAGGATTTGGTCAAGTTGTATGTAATAGAAAACACTAAATAATAATGACTTAAACATGGTAAATTTGGTTTCTCTCTCAGATAAAAGAAAGCAAGAAATAGACAGGTAAGGTTGATATGATAGTTCCACAAAGCTATCAGAGAACTAGACTTCTTTTGAAACCTTGCTTTCATAGGTGGCTTCCATTTCTAAGGATATCTCATGACCCAGGGTGGCTGCTTTAGCTCTAACCATTACGTCAGCATTCCAGGAAATAGGAAGAGAGCACTCTCCATTTTAAGGTGATTCCTTAAAAGTTCTATAATAACACAACTGCTTATATATCATTGGCTAGAGCTGCTCTGTTCATTATAGTAAATTCTAGCTACATGTGGCTGTTGAACACTTGAAATTTGAGTGGTCCAAACTGAGAGATGCTGCAAGTGTAAAATATACACTAGATTTCAAAAAATTCATATAAAAAATTTAGCAGACTTTCATTAATTTTATATTTGTGATTATATGTTGACATTATATTTGAGTTAATAGGTTAAAATATATTATTAAGGTTAATTTCACCTGTTTCTTTTTACTTTTTGAAATATGTCTACTAGAAAATTTTAAATTACTTATGAAGTTAGCATTGTATTTCTATTGGACCCGTGGGGTTAGAACTTAACCACACAGACAAACCTGGCTGCAAGGAAGATTGGGAAATGCAGTGTTTTGATGGCATGACAGTGTCTTCAGCTGAAAATCAGGTTCTGTTATTAACAAGGAGGGGAAAAATAGGTGTTTGGAGTAGGCAACTAACAGTCTGCCATTTTTTTTTTTTTTCTAACTCTGGAAAGTTAAAGGGGAGACAAAAAAATCACAGATGAGTTGCATATTGAATAAATTGTCAAAGTCCCTGTCCTTAAGGAGTTTACCAGCTAAATAGGGAGACATGCAATATTTAGACAATAAAAATGCAATTGGAGTAGCAAAAATATATTTGGGAGTGGGGCTGAGCTAACTCAGTGTTTGTATGGGGTTGGAAGGCCGGAATATTTGCAAATGCTTCCTGGAGGCTGACTGAAGAGAGCACCTAGAGAAGGCTGGCAGAGCAGGGGAGGCATGGGGGTGAAGGCTGGGCTGTTGTTTTGATCCCTCCTCCCTGTTCCATCTCCAGGACGTTGTACTCAGCCTTCTGCATGGAGCTGGCTTCCCATGGCTTTGTGGTTGCTGTGCCAGAGCACAGGTGAGGGAGATAGCTAAAATGAATTAGCATGGATGAGTGCCTGCAGTGGCTAAGATGTAGGCTGATCCCTTATAAATAGATTACTTCTTTTGTTTTTTGTTTTTGTTTTTGTTTTTTGTTTTTTTTTTTTTCCAGTTAGAGTCTTACTCTGTTGCCCAGACTGGAATGCAGATGGTATGCTCAAGCCACCGCAGCCTCAACCTGCTCGGCTCAAGCGATCCATCTGCCTCAGCCTTCCAAGTAGCTGGAACTACAGGCATGCACCACACCTGGCTGATTTTTCTTGACTTATTGTAGAGACAAGTTCTCACCAAGTTACCCAGGCTGGTCTTGAACCTCTGGGCTCAGACAATTCTCTCTCCTCAGCCTTCCAAAGTGCTGGGATTATAGGAATGAGCCATGGTGCCCGGCCAATAGATTGCTGCTTCTTCTTCTTCTTTTTTTTTTTTTTTTTTGAGTTGGCATCTCACTCTGTTATCCAAGGCTGGAGTGCAGTGGCATGCTCACAGCTACTGCAGCCTCAACCTGCTGGGCTCAGGCGATCCGCTTCAGCCTTCCAAGTAGCTGGAACTACAGGTGCACACCACTATGCCCAGCTAATTTTTTGATTTATTGTAGAGACAAAGTCTTGCCAAGTTGCCCAGGCTGGTCTCGAACCCCTGGGATCAGGCAGTCCTCTTGCTTCCGCCTCCCAATGTGCTGGGATTACAGGCGTGAGCCACCATGCCTGGCCAATAGATTACTTCTAATCCTTGCCACATTTGGGCAAGGCAGTTATTATACCCATTTTAAAGAGGAAGAAACCAAGGTTCAAAGATGTTGAAGAACTTGCCAGATGTGACACAGCTGAGTTGGGATTCAAGTCCCGGTCTGTCTCCAGAATCCATTCTTTTTCTCTTCTCCTATGATGCCCCCAGATCTCCTTCCCTACAAGCCAAAGGGTGACCTAGAGTCTCAATGGGTGAAAGGGAAGAGTTGGTAAAGGGGCAAAATAAGCTTAAGAGTGTCTTTTAGTTTCTCTCTGGTGACGTGTATTTTAGGGACCAGTCAGCTGCAACCACCTATTTCTGCAAGCAGAACTCAGAAGAGAACCAGCCCACCGAGTCACTGGAGGAGGAATGGATCCCTTTTCGTCGAATTGAGGAAGGGGAGAAGGAATTTCATGTTAGGAATCCCCAAGTAAGCTTGTGCCAATTGGGAGGGAGAGTTAATAGGCCTGTCTTCTCTATACTGTACTTACTAAGCAAGACTCTTTTTTTTTTTTGAGTTGGAGTTTCACCCAGGTTAGAGTGCAGTGGCATGCTCACGGCCACCACAGCCTCGACCTGCTGGGCTCAAGTGATCCTTCTACCTTAACCTTCCAAGTAGCTGGAACTACAGGTGCATATCACCATGCCCAGCTAATTTTTTGATTTATTGTGGAGACGAGGTCTCATCAAGTTGTCCAGGCTGGTGTTGAACCCCTGGGTTCAGGCAATCCTCTCGCCTCCACCTCCCATATTGCGGGGATTACAGGCATGAGTCACCACGCCTGGCTAAGCAAGACTCTTAACTATCCCTCTCTCTTGAAATCCCAATCACAGCGGGTCTGAGTTTGCGACATTAGTGCAAATATATGGTATATTAATCAGAACTTCTCCAAATGCCAGTGGCAGAAACCCAACTTAAACTGCTTAGATGAAAAAGGGAGCCAGGCTCGGTGGCTCAGCCTGTAATCCCCCGCCTTTGGGAGGCTGAGGTGAGTGAATTGCCTGAACCCGCGGGTTCGAGACCCGCCTGGGCAGGCGAAATCTCATCTCTACAATAAATCAAAAAAGTAGCCGGGCGTGGTAGCGCGTGCCTGTAGTTCCAGCTACTTGGAAGGATCGCCGGAGCCCAGCAGGTGGAGGCTGCGGTGGCCGGGAGCAGCCACTGCACTCCAGTCTGGGCGACAGAGTGAAACTCCAACTCAAAGAAAAGAAAAGAGAAAGAAAAAGGGAATTGATAGGCACATGTGTGTAGACTATAGAACGAGCAAGACCACTGGAACCAGCCGCAGATGCCATCAGCATTTGCTCTTTATCCTTATCCTTGTCTCTCTCCTGGTTGGGGGTCTCATCTTCAAACAAAAAAATTAGCTGGGTGTGGTGGCACACGCTTTAGCTACTTGGAAGGCTGAAGGATTGCCTGAGCCCAGCAGGTCGAGCCTGCAGTGGCCTTGAGTGTGACACTGTACTACAGTATGGGCGACAGAGTGAGACTTAGATTCAAAAAAAAAAGGGGAGGGTTAAGGGGAATGAAGGCAAGTAAGAGCAAGGCAGACAAAGACAATAGGTAAGGGCTAAAAATGGGCAAGTAGAATCCGGTACCAGACTGTAGTCATGGCACTCTTAATCCCTTGTTTTCTTTCTTTCTTTTTTTTTTGAGATGGCGTCTCACTCCCTTGCCCAGGCTGGAGTGCAGTGGCACGCTCCCAGCCACTGTAGCCTCAACCTGCTGGGCTCCAGCAATCCTTCTGCCTCAGCCTTCCAAGTAGCCGTAATGACAGGCATGCGCTACCACATCTGGCTAATTTTTGATGTAGAGATGAGGTCTCGCCAAGTTGCCCGGGTGGGTCTCGATCCCGTGGGCTCAGGCAATCCACTCTCCTTGGCCTCCCAAAGTGCTGGGATTACAGGCTGAACCACCAAGCCTGGCTATCCCTTGTTTTCAAAATGATTTCATTGACATCATCTCACTGGTTTCTACTGACAACCCCATGGTATGTAAGTGGATTCTGAAAAGCAGAGCTGATTCCATTATGCTGGTAGGAGTGCTTATGTGAGGTTTGAAGGAGTTGAGCCTTTCTCAGGACATGGGGCCCCCCACAGTGCTTGCTGATCTTTGGGAGGCACATTGTCCCTGCATTCTTCCTTGACTCTGGGTAAGTGAGGTCCTCGCTGGATGGCTGTGGAGTGCTGCAGCTCCCACCAGGTCTGTCTCTGTTGCAGGTGCATCAGCGGGTGAGTGAGTGTTTGCGGGTATTGACGATTCTGCAAGAGGTTACTTCTGGGAAGACTATCTTTAACATCTTGCCTGGTGGGTTGGACCTGATGACCTTGAAGGTATGACAGCAATTGGTATGACCCAGAGTCCACGTATTCATCAGGACTTTCTTTTTTTTTTGAGTCAGAGTCTCACTCTGTCACCCAGGCTGGATTGCAATCAACCTGCTGGGCTCAGGCGATCCTTCTGCTTCAGGCTTCCAAGTAGTTGGAACTACAGGCACACACCACCTTGCCCAGCTAATTTTTTTGATTTGTTGTAGAGACAAGGTCTCGCCTAGTTGCCCAGGCTGGTCTCAAACCCCTGGGTTCAGGCAGTCCTCTTGCTTGGGCCTCCCAAAGTGTTGGAATTACAGGCATGAGCCACCATGCCCAGCCAGGACTTTCTTGATTACAAGTAACAGAAACCTAACTCACTAGCTTAAACCAGAAGAGAATTATTCACTCACATAACTAAGAAGACCAAAGGCCAACTTTAAGCCAGTGTAGTCAGATCAAGGATCTCAGACATTATCATCAAAGCTCTGGCACTCTTTTTTCCCCTTTCCTGGCTCAGTTCCTCTATGTGTATGTGGATTTCTGACCAGACTCTTTAGACAAAAAAGATAGTTGCAGGCAGCTCAAGCCTGCATGTTCATTTACAGTTCTAGATTTAAAAAGAAAAGCTTCCACTAATCTGGGAAGCTTCTACTAATCTGGGAAGGCTGTGGTCCTCCTTGGATCACCTGCCCCTACTGAGCCAACTACTATATCATTGCTATCAAGGTATATTGATTGACCTGCCTAGGTTATATACTCACTTCTAGGCCAAGGGATTGGTGGCCCATAGGGCCATATGGATGTGGTGGGGGGAGTCTCACTCTGTCACCCAGAGGCTGGAGTGCAGTGGCATACTCACTGCCATTGTAGCCTTAACCTGCTGGGCTCCAGTGATCCTTCCGCGTCAGCCTTCCAAGTAGCCGGAACTACAGGCACATGCTACCATGCCCAGAACATTTTTTATTTATTGTAGAGATGAGTTCTTGCCAAGTTGTCCGGTCTGGTCTCGAACCCGTGGGCTCAGGCAATCCACTCACCTTAGCCTCTCAAAGTGTTGGGATTACAGACTGAGCCACTGAGCCCGGCCTATTCTATTGTTTGAGTAAGCCTGTACATATATACATTTATATTATACATACATATATGCATAGATTATATTAATACTTATATATACATATATTATCACACATATATAAAGATACATGTATATTATGTGCATATTATGCATACATATATAAACTTTATATACATATATGTTAGACATACATATATACTAACAATTATTGCTTTATGAGTACTTACCATGATAAGTGCTTCTCATACAAACTTATGAAGTAAGCATTATTACCTCTTTACATAGAAAGAAACCAAGGCTCAAAAAGGTTCAATATCTACCCAAGATTACTCAACTATGTAAGTGGTAGAGTCAAACTTACAACTGCAGCTTTTTGATCCTAAAGCCTATGCTATATGCCCTAAAGCCTCTTTAGAAAATATCTTTTAAAGGCTTTTGTAATGTCCTCCAGGGAAAGGCGTCTGCTTGCATGGCTAGTAGGTAAGGCAGACCCTGAAATCTAGAGTGCTTTACTAACTACAGTAGTTGTTGGAGGGGCTTTGGGCATGAAGTCCAGGCCTGCATGGCTGTGAGCCTGTGATAGGCATTGAGGAATGGCAGGCTACAATCCAGTTGGACTTGTTAGGAAGCAGCCTTTTGGGGAAAATACAGAATTTAAAAGCTAAGTAAATGTTCATCTATCAGATTGAGTAAGACCCCAAAATTGATTACTCACTCTGTTGACAAAGCTGTGGGGAAGTAGATATTGTCCTGCATTGTTGGTGAGAGCACACGTTGCCCCATGGAGTGCATTTGGCAACGCTCTCAGCAGTACAAACGCACATGTTCTTTGACTCAGCAATTTCCAGTTTTGGAATTTATTCTACATATACCTGCATGCATGCAGCATGATGTATACAACGTTATTCATTCCAGTGTAGTTTGTAATAGCAAAAGACTGACAGTAATATAAATGTTCACCCATAAGGAAAGTGGTTTAAAAAATTATGGAATAGTGATGTATTAGTTTAATTAATGCTAATTGCTATAGTATTTAAACCCCATATCTCAGTGGGTCAGTATGATAGGAATTTATTTCTCTCCTATATAAAGTCCAAATGGGCTGGGTGCAGTGGTTCATGCCTGTAATCCCAACACTTTGGGGTGCCGAGGTGGGAGGATTGCTTCAGCCCAGGAGTTTGAGACTAGCCTGGGTAACATCATGAGACCTCACCTCTACAAAAAAATTAAAAAGGGGAGGATAAAAAAATTAGCTGGGCACAGTTGCACGCATCCATAGTTCCAGCTACTCGAGAGGCTAAGGCGGGAGGATTGCTTGAGCCCAGGAGTTTGAGGCTATGGTGAGCTGTGATTGTGCTACTGCACCACAGCCTGTGTGGCAGAGTATGACCTCAACTCAAAAATAACCATAAAAATAAAGTCCAAATGGGTGCTTCTGTGCAAGAGGTAACTCAGGGATCCAGTTTGTCTTCTGGCTCTACCTGCTTTTCCCTGGGGAAATCCAAAATTTGTTATTTACATTAAGCAAACAGAATGGGAAAGGGCATAGAGGTTTGTGTAAGAAAGTTTCTATGGACCAGGTCTAGAAGTGGAGCTATAACTTTTGCTCACATTTTATTGGCTAGAACTCATTCACAAGGCCACATGTAACTCTTGGGAAGTAGTCCAGGTGTGAGTCCAGGAAGAAGAGGAACAGATGTGGTGATCAGCTAGCTGTCTATACCGTGGTGAAATCAAATATAGCTGTAAAAAAGCATGAGGAAGTGCTTTATTTATTTATTTATTTGAGACAGGGTCTTGCTCTGTTGGGACTACAGACATGCACCACTTTTATTTTTTAAGTTTTTGTAGAGACAAGGTTTTGCTGTGTTGCATAGGCTGGTCTCAAACTCCTGGGCCCAAACAGTCCTCTGCCTCAGCCTCTCAAAGTGTTGGGATCACAGGTGTGGACCACCATGCCAGGCCTGGAAGCTCTTTATGTTTTAATATTGTTACATTTAAAAAGTGAGTTACAGTATCACTTGTGTAAAAAGAGGGAAAAGTATATATTCATGTTTACATATTTATGCATAAGCTATTTCCACAAGGACACATAAGAAACTCACTTGTTTGGGAGTAGGAAGTGGGCAACTATGTGGAAAAGAAATGGGGTAGATGGGAGACTTCTCTTTATTCTTCTGAATTGAGAGGTTGTGAGTATATGAGCCTATTTTAAAAGGTATCAAATACCAACCAAGATGTTGATCTGATAGTACTGAGCGAAGGGAAGGATTTAGGAACAAAGCCTTGGAATAGAAACTCTGGGGAGCAGAGAAGAGCAGGGGTTCAGAGCAGAGCAGTAAAGCCTGGAGAGATTTTCCAAGCAGATTTGCAGGCAGCTGCAGTGGCTTTTTTACATAACCATGCCCTGAAGGCTTCTAGGAGGATCAGAAATAGATTCTTGCAGAGCATGTTAGAGTGCGCAGACTCGCTCTTTCTTCCCCTGGGCGTTGGGTAAAAATCAGGACAGATACCCAGGGAGGAGAACCTGAGTTGGTTTCTGCACAACCAGTCATTGCTCCAAAGCAAAGTGGACGGCAGCAGGGACCCCCTCATTCCACCCTCAACCCAGTCCATGTGTCATCCCTGTGGTCTAATGTATAAGACAGGAGTTCTGGAGGATGGAGATAGCTCTCACTCTTTTTTTTTTTTGTTGTTTTTTTTTGAGTCAGAGTCCACTCTGTCGCCCAGGCTGAAGTGCAGTGGCATGATGACAGCTACTGTAGCCTTGACTTGCTGGGCTCGAGCGATTCTTCCACCTCAGTCTTCCAAGTGACCGGAACCACAGGCTCATGTCACCATGCCTAGCTAATTTTTTTATTTATTGTAGAGGTGAGGTTTCGCCAGGTTGCCCAGGCTGGTCTCGAACCCCTGGGCTCAGGCAATCTTCTTGCCTCTGCCTCCCAAAGTGTTGGAATTACAGGCATGAGCCACCGCACCCAGCTGAGACATCTTTTATTCTTAATAGACTCATAGACCGATGGGTCAGTATGGAATCTGACCATATCCATCCAATCATTTGTTTATAGATATTTGAATGTCTACCCTAGTCAGATATTGTTAGGTAACAAGGTAGGAAAAATAAAGATGAAAAACATGGTTCTTGGCTGGGTGCAGTGTCTCACACCTGTTATCCCAGCACTCTGGGAGGCCAAGGTGGGAGTATCACTTGAGCCCAGGAGTTCAAGACCAGCCTGGGCAACATAATGAGACCCTGTCCCTATGAAAGGTTTTTAAAAATTAGCTAGGTGTGATGGTGCATGTCTGTACTCTCAGATGCTTGGGAGGCTGAGGTTAGAGGATCTCTTGAGCCTAGGAGTTCTAGGCTTCAGTGAACTATGATCATGCCACTGCACTCCAGCCTGGGTGACAGAGACCCTGTCTCTAAATTAAAACTAAACAAAACATGGTTCTCAGGATTCTGCCTGCAGAAGACTGTTCAGTCCAAGGATTGCTTGACTAGCTGCTCTCCACTAGGCGAGAGAGCCTTAATAGTGTGGTTTTGGTGGGCTTACCCACTATTTTGTGCCTTTGGCCTCATTGCCTCACTATTTCTTCCTCTTGCCCCTAATGAATTCCTAAAGCAGTTCTGAGTTTCTGACTTGGCTGAGTTCTCCACTTTCCTCAGGGCAGCATTGACATGAGCCGTGTAGCTATGATGGGACATTCATTTGGAGGGGCCACAGCTATTCTGGCTTTGGCCAAGGAGACCCAATTTCGGTGAGTTTCCTGGTGGTGCTGCTTGCCTGTCAGTTCATACCATTCGTTCATTCAGCAAATATTTGTTACACAAGTATGATGTTCTGGGCATTGCTTGCGGACTAGGGATTCTACTGATGAACAAGAAAACAAGATCTCTGATTTCTTTCTTTCTTTTTTTCCTATATTGGAGAATATAGTTTATTTAGAAAATAAATTAGAGAGAGGAGAGGAGATTCACCTTCCCAAGGGAGGGGAGGGGCCAAAGCCAAGAAACATGGTGGCCATAGCTCAAAGAGCCCTGTAGACACACCAGAATTTAGCAAAGCAATGGCCAAGATCTCTGATTTCATAGAATTATGTTATTATGGGAGGAGACAGACTGGAAAACAAGCCAACAGATAAGAAGATCTCTATCACCAAGTGCAATGAAGAAAATAAGACTGATATACTAGGGTATCTAAGGGCTTTTCTGAGAAAATGGCAGAAGGCAAGACTGGAAAAGAAAAGAAGCCAGCCACATAAATGTGTGGAGGAAGATCATTCCAGCCAGTGGGAACAGCTTGTGCAAGAGGCCTGAGATGGAAGGAGGCTTGCTGTGTCTGTGTGGGAGGAGCCCAGTGGTTGAGGGGAGGCTGTGGAAGATGTGATCAAAGAGGCAGGCAGGGGCCAGATCACAGGGCCTTTTGGCCAGGGTAAGGAGGTTTAGATTTTATTCTAAGTAGGATGAGAAACCATTGAAGGATTTTAAGCAGAGAAAAATCCATCTTATTTACATTTAAAAAGATCCCTTTGGTAAGGAAAGGATTCCTGTGTGGGGAAAGAATTGCAGCAGAACTAGACTGAAGTCTTGGAGGCTAGTTAGAGGGATGCTGTTTCAGGATCAAGGTGAGAGATGATGGATTTGCATCAGAATGAAGGCAGTGAGATGGAGACAAGCAAATGGAGTCCAGATGTGTTTTAAAATTTTTAGGACTGGTTGAGGTATGAGGCAAAGGAAAGAAAGGAAATCAGGTTTTTCATTTGTGTGTCTATTATTTGAGTGAAAGATAATTTTCTTTATTGAAATGGAGAAGACTGAAGGAACATTTTGGGAGTTGGAGGAGGGAGTTGGCTGAATGTTAGGCCATAGTTTTGTCCTTGGTGACATAGTTTTGCTCTTGTCACCAGGGAGGCTTTTCCTGACCTCACATAGCACTTTGTGCAATCAGAGCACTAAGCTATATTGTTTTTACCTTGTCTAGCTTGTTACCTCATCTTCCCTGCTGGACTGGGAGCTCCCTGAGGGCAAGAACTCTGTTATTTATTTCTTTATGTAAAGCACAGGGCTAAGCACAGTAGGCACTCTATGAATGTTGAATGAATGAATAATTAAATGAATGAAGTCCCATTCTGTGGTACTCAAGTCACGGGTCACTGAGAGTAGATCCAGAAGGAGATCTGACCCTTGCTGTCATGGAGTTTAAAATCTAGAAGGATCTTTGGTGATGGGTAAAAACGATCCCTAGCCAAGACCCTAACTGAAGGGTGTGGGCCCCAGTATCCCCTTCACGCCTTTCTGAGCCCTCAGTCCACTAAAGGGATGAACCCCCCGCCCCCTATTCTTTTCTGGTTTCTGCATGGCAGTTCCAAATGTCTGGTCCTGTTCCAGGTGTGCTGTTGCTCTGGATGCTTGGATGTTTCCTCTAGAACATGACTTTTACCCCAAGGCCCGAGGCCCTGTGTTTTTTATCAATGCTGAGAAGTTCCAGACAATGGAGAGTGTCAACTTGATGAAGAAGATATGTGCCCAGCATGATCAATCCAGGATTATAACTGTCCTGTGAGTAGACACCAAGGTCATGGGCCCAGCATCCCCTTCATTTTCCACTTAGCTGTGGCTCCCTAATTTCTTCTGGATAATCCAGAACTTTCTACCCATTAATAGAATACCTGAATACTTCATTAATTTCAAAGTCTTAATTCCTTTGGAATTTTCTATCTGTCCTTCTTCTCCACTAAGCTCTACCGACAGTGATTGTTAGTTCGGTAGTTTATATGACTTTATGATAGGATTTACCTGGTGCTTTATGGGAAAAGGATTTTGTGGGATTGTGTGTTGGAGAGGAAGGAGTGTGGGTCGAGTGGATGCCAGAGATCTCTAGCCTCATTTGGGAGTTTTATTGGATCTTTTGAAGAGTGTGAACGTGGTAAACTGTTGACATTCACCAGATAGATTTTTTTGAGATCTTCATGAATACCTAAGTCACAAGATCACTTTAATGTATGTTTTCTTCCATAAACTATCCATGTTCTGGTCAAGAGAAACAAAGTTTTCTTCACTTTCACCACCAGCACCCTCAGTTGATTTTGTGGGGGAGCCATTTTCACAGAGAAAAAGCATTTTTAGTGACTGTAAGAAAATGCACCATATGTAAAAGATGGTGTAGAGCTGTGGACGCAGGGCTGAGATCTTACTGACTGCCCTGCCCTGCACTCCACACTCGAGCCTAGCGGCACACAGACTACAGGGATCCCAGTTTCTATTTCAGCAAAATGACAAGGGACTACACACCACATACCTTGTAGTCACTCAGGTAGTTGAAATGCCAAACCCAGAGCCCTTGCAGCGAGGGGTCTGCCGCATGGCCAGTGGCTTCTTCCCTTGTCATCTTGGCCCAGGCTCTCTTTCCTGGGCCCAACCCCTCCCTTTTCAGTTTGATTTCATGGCAGTAGGGGGCTGCTGAAACTCAGAGTCAGGATAATTGTGACCTGAGGGGAAGTAAGGTAAGGCCAGGTGGGAAGGGCCCACAAAGGTAGCTTAACTACTAGCAATGTATTATTTCTTTTTTGGTTTTTTTTGAGTCAAAGTCTCACACTGTTGCCTAGGTTGGAGTGCAGTGGCACACTCATGGCCACCACAGCCTCGACCTGCTGGGCTCAGGCTATCCTTTTGCCTCAGCTTTCCAAGCAGCTGGAACTACATGCGCGTACTACCACGCCCGGCTAATTTTTTTATTTATTGTAGAGACGAGGTCTCACCAAGTTGCCCAGGCTGGTCTCAAATCCCTAGATTCAGGCAATTCTCTCACCTCAGCCTCCCAAAGTGCTGGGTTTACAGGCTTGAGTCACCATGCCCAGCCATATTATTTATATTGTTTATTTTTTTTCCATATTATTTCTTAAACTGTGTGCTGGATACTCAAATGTCCAGTATATTATTGTATTCACTTTTTGTGTGTGCCTTTCTTTAAAAGTCCATTTTTGCCAGGCTTGGTGGCTCAGCCTGTAATCCCATGCCTTTGGGAGGCTGAGGTGAGTGGATTGCCTGAGCCTGCAGGTTCGAGATC